GGCTACCCGATGTGCCATGGGGTTGGCTATGAAACCACGCGCGCGCGCTCGTATCTCTTATTGAACCCATTCGGTATCTCTTGCATTCCCTTGCAGTCGCCCTCATGATAGCCCTTCGGCATTCTTCAAGTTTCGAGCGCCCACAGATCAGGGCCTCGGCCCACTGGGCTTTGCCGCCGGGCTGTTCGCTCATTGGATAAGATACCCTTCGTTGCCACTTCGGCTCCGGGGACACGTCGCATTGAGGCACTCCACCTTCACGTAATCTAGAATAAAGCGCCCTGAATGCTTACCAAGACCATTCCTTTGGGGTTTCTTAATACAAACATACTAGCATATACTCCAAAGCCCTCTTAGACTGTAGCAAGGCCCCCCGGAATCGCCAGCTCAGAATGGCCTTTGCAGTTGTCGATGCTGTAGATGGCCGCTTGCAATGGCCTGTGTTTGCTACGTGCGTGAATGGCACAAGAGCTTTCCTTCCAGCTCGAGTCGCCTCGGACAGACTACCATCGAAGCTCTTCGACTCCGGCAAAATTAAGGGTTTAGCCCTCAGGGTTTGGCTCGCTATTCAAGCGCAATTAAACTGCACAGACTTGAAGATCTCTATACTGCCGCTACGATACCAGACTCAGACATCGAGGCTCGCGCGCCCTTGTTACAAAAGAGGCTACGGCGCTAATCGCTGATGCTGTGGTCTAAACTCTGGTTTGCCCGAATGTAGCAGTAGGCCGTAACAAGTTGTGGTAATGATGCTCAAACTGCAATGCACCTTAACGGATAATGAACGCACCTGATTAAGAAACCCTGGCCCTATAACCCCAATATATTAGGGTTCATATTAAGAACCCTAAACCCTGAACCCTAAACCCTAAACCCTAAACCCTAACCCTAAACCCTAAACCCTTAAAGGCCCCAGGGTTTCTTAATCAGGTTCCTACATGGAAAACGGTGCAGCTTGCAGGCCAGGGAGGCGCTCCGAAACCGTATGGCACAACGTAGCGTCCACAGACAGGCATACCCAGAGACTCCAATATTCCTTAATTAAGGAATAGACCTTAAATCATATTAAGGATCCTCCTTTTTTTTGTTTTTTTGGAATATTCCTTAATTAAGGGATATTGGAGTCTCTGGGTAGGCATAGTACGCAACATCCGGTGCTTTAGAAATGTCTTTGACCACTCCTCTCGTCGCGGTTGCAGCTCAGGCTTTGACGATAGCTTTCACCTCCCAAGCGCTATGATGTTCTGGACGAAGCCGCTTGTGGCCCTGACCTCAGTCTAGTCAACAACAACACCCGATTAAACGAGGAGGGATCGTCTTGGAAAGTCTTACAGCCTTGCATGCTGGACGCACAAACTCTCCAAACGGCATTTAGTTGCGCCCCCTCCCCCCTGTACCGCTGGCAGCAGCGCACTGCGCGCGTTCGTCCGCACAATTTCGCAGATCATACGAGAGCTTCATTGTGCGAGGGGTCCCTGTTCATAATACATTTAAGGATCAAAAACTGCTTGTGCTGGCCTGCTCAGGTCTCCGACGTTGTCCGCAGTTTGCTTCCTTGGTTTATCGCCTTACTCCTGGGTGTGCTCACCGCCATCACAGGACCGATGCAGAGTCCAGCTGCCTTTGTGGTTTACATGGTTCGCTGTATATGGTGTCGCGACTGTCGTGGTCTGAAAGGCACAGATGGGAAGACACCGAAACGAAATCATTTGGGAGTGATGGCTCATGAGACTTCATACGCTAGGGCCATCGCATCTTCAGCAAGTCTGAAAGCAGCAGATGTGCACTTAGTTAGCCCTTTACAATCTGCGACGCCTGAGGCCACTGTAAAATGCGATCCCGGCCCTTCCCAGAAGAGGCAACCACAAGCCCTCAAACCCTGAAGTCCTACACACCCTGGTAAATAAATTCTAGAGTTCTAGAGCGCTGGACCCAAACCCTAAAACGCCCTATAGCCGGCAAAGCTTGACTGAGACAGTCACAGAAGGAAGCGCCATTGCGATTTTCTCTGATTTTCTGGGCGACGCGCGCTGCTTGGGCTCGCATCGTGTGTGTGTGTGTGTGTTTGTGTTTGTGCGTGTGTGTGTGTGTGTGTGTGTGTGTGTGTCTGTGTGTGCGTGTGTGTGTGTGTGCGCGCGTGCGGGCTGTCTTCATCGACTAGTGCCTGGTAACACTAGAAGGTTAGATGTTAACTTAGCTTACTTAAAGAGGGCATCCGGGCACCGGAGTGGAGAAGAAACCCATGCCAGCTCCTTGCGATTGTCCACTACATGCAAGTGGCGAGTTGTCAGAGCCATAATCGCCAGCCGCACCATTGACCACGGAATGCCAAGTACTCCCGTCGAAGCTTGAAAGGCAAGGACAATCTCCATGTACTGAACCGGACACCGCTCTCACAGACCTGAACCTAAATAGCCTGCTATATATCCAACAACCCACAAAGTAAGGGACACAAGGCTTAGATTGCTCTACGTTTAGGATTTAGCGTTATTGTTCACTATGGTTCGACGGGCAGAAAGCAACTCAGGCTTTGGATTTTGCCGTGGCCTCCTCCTCGCGGACCGCAACCGCTGTTGCGGCGGGTCTGAGAATGTGGACTATGTGCTTGAGAAGCAGCCTGGCTAGAAACGGTTTCAGACAGTTCTATTCGGCATTATAATCGGTAGCTTGTACTGTCTATAGTACTAATAGTACTCATGTAAGATGAGCCCGAAACCCTTCAAAATAGTTTGAGCATGGTTGGGGGATGACGGTTCAACGTAGAGCCCTGATTAACCCCACATCCTTCATTGGAGCCGTAAAAGACCTTTGCCTAAGCCCTAGAATCCTGGAGCTTTAGGGCTACAGGTATTATAGGAGCCTGAACAATTACCAACGTTAGTCCTGGGGTTCTTGGTTATAACTATACCAAGATCCCCAAGACCTTACTCTGATTAGATGTTAGGGACCTATATTAGAGCGCTAGCTTGAAGGGGCCCAGGTAACTCAACAGATATGCACTTGGGCCCATCAGCTGCTGCATAATACCCCTGATGAAGTTTAGGCTTAAGGGTTTAGGTGCGTAAGACCGCTGATGAATGAACTCCTGTGTTGGGGACCTCAGGTGCAAGAGACCGGCGCGGCTGGGCAGCAAGAGTGTGGTGGAACTGTCTTGGAATTGGGGATCAGGGTCTTGGCATTGAGGAGACTTACCAGTCAGGGCCATCCTAGGGAACGTTGGTGTCTGAAGCTCCTATGTGAAGCAACCTTCTCAAGAGGTGCAGGCAGGCTGGGCAGCAACCCGAATTTGTTCTCTTGGTTTTGATTCTGCACTGCTGATGGCTGAGGATCGGCGACGACGGGGTGGTGTGGGTACCTTGGGCACATTTCTTCGAGTTCAGTGGGACCGCTGGCGCAATCCTCTCCTTGTTCTTGTACGTCTCCGCCTCGCTGGTCTTCACTGGTTTAGCTGCATACCTGGTCTACGAGTACGCACCGACGGCTAGAGGCAGTGGCATCCCCGAAGTGAAGGCAGCAGTGTCAGGCTACGATCTACCCTTGAGCTTCACGGGCGCCTGCTTGGTCATCAAAGCCCTAGGCCTCAGCCTCGTCGTTGGGGCTGGCCTCTCCCTTGGAAAGGAGGGCCCCCTAATCCATATCGGGGTCTGCCTCGCCTCGACCTTGCAGCGCGCCTGCGGAGCCCTAGGCCTCCGAAGAGCCGGGATGCCCTTTCACGAGATGGCCTGCATCGGTGCCGCGGCCGGCGTGTCCACAGCCTTCGGAGCACCCTTAGGAGGCGTCTTGTTCGCGGTGGAGGAGTTGGGATCTGTAAGGTCTTTGAGTCAGAGGACCCTCCTCCTGTCCTTCTTGGCGGCTTTTGCTGCCAGCTTTACCCTGAAGTCTCTGAACTTGACGGGTGCCAATCGACTTACCTTGTTCGCCTTATCCCTTCCCACGCACACGGCAAGGAAGGAGTGGATCTCCTGGGAGATGTGTGCTTTCTTCTTGATCGGAGTCACCGGGGGCATTGGCGGGGGCCTCTTTGTGATGATGAACTTGTGGTGTACCTCACAGCGGCGCCAGGCGCTGAAGGAGGGCCGCCTTTGGTTCCTACCAATGCTTCCCTGCAAGCAGCGGGGTACCCTGAATGTGTTGGAGTGCGTTATCATTGCCTTGGTGACGGCGACTCTGAGCTATCCCTTCACCCAGCTATTGCGGTCCCTGTCAACGGAGGCTATCCATGCGATGTTCGAAACGTGCCCCAATGCGCGTCCAAGCCACTTCGGCTTATGCGATCCGGACGACGATGCAGTGGCGAACATCAGCCTTCATGCGAACATGTGGCTGCTCATCGCAGCAGTGGTGCGGCTCTTCCAGACAACCTATACCTTCGGAGCTGCCATACCATCGGGCCTCTTCATACCCTCGTTGTATGTCGGAGCTGCCTTAGGCCGCTTGATAGGAAATCTCATCTTTCGCTTGGCGGCTGCCGTGTCCGAGTTCCCGGTGCATATCGAGCCTGCCGTCTTCGCCATGGTAGGCACGGTCTGATTGCAAAACTTGGTTAATGACGGTACCGCCAGCATAACACAGACGTGCTTGCCTGGTACCCCTCAACTTCTCAGCTAAGTAGTCTAAGCCTGAACTTTGCAGGCGGTCTACTGCTCTTTTGAAGCAATGAAAACCCTAAACCCTAAACCGTGGGCTCAGGTGCCATAAGCATGTTGTCGGGCTTCTGCCGCATGACCGTGTCGCTCGTGGTGATCATGTTCGAACTCACAGGCGCGCTTCGCAGCATCGATTTCATGCCTGTGTGTGTGTGTGTGCGCGATCGGTAATATGGGGCCTAAATAATTACCTATACGATCTTGGGCTTCCTCATAATTATAGTATAAAATACCCTCAAACCCTGTTCTAATTATTAAGGCCCCTACATTATTAGAGCAGGAGAGCTGAACTACATCGTGCCCTTCATGTGTGCCGTCCTCACGGCAAAACTTGTTGGCGACATGATGACGCCTTCAATCTACGACGCCCATGCATCGCTGAACGGTCGCTCACCTGATCTACAACCTCACGGCTCTTGTTTGACCACATACAAGTATTACAACAACTTCATAGAACAAACAGGTATACAGATAACCCAAACAACCAAAAGTGTACGTATCTGCAAGTGTGCAACTTGATATGTAAATATTTATATGTACAATGTTCACATGTTTCACGGTAGTATGTATGTATGTATGTATGTATGTATGTATGTATGTATGTATGTAAGCATGTATTTATGTATGTATGCATGTATGTATGTATGTATGTATGTATGTATGCATGTATGTGCGCATGTATGTATGCATGCATGCATGCATGCATGCATGCATGTATGTATGTATGCATGTATGTATGTATGTATGCATGTACGTGTACCTGTCTGTCTGTATGTCTGTATGGCTGTATGTATGGATGCGCATGCACTGCCGCAGTGCAGAACTGGTGGGATCATGAGGCTACGCGCCGGTCGAGGGGCAGGCTGACATTCGCACCTTGGATGCGAGCACTCAGCTCGAATAACAACGAACCCTGGTCGTAGTCTGCATCCTTTGCCGCGCATGCCCAAATTCCATGAACACCAGACACTTATCCCAAGGCTTTGACACGGTCTTAGCCGATATCACCAAGCCAGGCCGGCTTGAGCGGGGGGATCAGAGAACCAGAGGTCTCCTACTTTCAGGATCCTACTTGGGGTGTGGTGTCAGGGTTTTCTCTTGTAAGGGAGTCCACACCATAGCATACGTCTTTTCAGCGACGCAGCGTCTGGCCCTCCCTACTTGGAGGGTCATGGGACTTCGTATGAGTAAGTTTGTAAGTGCCTTAATTGGGGTTATAAGTTAGCTATAAGTGGTTCTAAGTATAGTGACCTTACTCAGAACGTTACTTGCTAAGTCCCAGGATCCTCCGTATAGAGCCCTTATAGATCCCCTTTAATCCCTTGTGAGGAACCCTTTTAAAGGGAACCTTCCCATGATCCTAAACCCTATGAACCCTAAGCCCTGAACCCTAAACCCTGAACCCTGAACCCTAAACCCTAAACCCTGAACCCTAAACCCTGAACCCTCAACCTGAGCCCTAAACCCTGAACCCCTCCAAATAGCATAGGCTGACCTCTGCTCTGGCTGTGAGGCGTGCACACCGGCTCGGTGAAAGCCGGCATCGAGGCAGCTGCCCCAAAGTGCGGTGTTTACAGTATTGGAGCAGTTTAGGGTTTAGGGGTTTAGGATTTTGGGGTTTAGAGTTTAGGGGTTTGGGGCTTACAGTAGAAGCCCAAAAGTTGGAAACCCAATAGCCTCAATCCTTGACACTATAATGCATAGGCATAGGGAAGCCCAGCACTATTTGTCCTCAATCCGGTTTCCTACGTAAAAATATAATTAAACATATACTCAAAACATAGCTATTATAATATTAACTTTCGACCTTATAATAATTAAATCAGTATAGCCTAAATATAGCTATTATAAAATACTGACATGATTTTAAACATTTAGTTATAACATAACCACTTATTAATAAGCCCTTACAATGCGCATTGGCGCGGCGAACCAAAGCCATGAGTTTCCGTCTTGATGTACGAAAAATTGCAAGCAGGCACTCGGCGTTCCCGAGAGCTGCGTGGCAGTGCTTACCCCGCAGGCTACGCGGAGAGCACAGTCCTTCAGCGTTTCTGTTTTTACGTAAACTCCGAATGCTGCCCGAAGTTAAGTTCGGCTTTGCGACCGCAGAGCCTAATGGGGAGCAGCTGGCTCTCTTTAGGGCATCCTTGCATATTGACTGGCTACTGCACACTACCTTTCTGCTTCGGTCATCTTAGCCTTGAATCCCGCAACCCGAAGCTCCCTGCCATCCATGACCCCCCCAACTATCCACTCATCAGGCCTTGCATTGTGTTGCAGAGAAGGCAAGAAAAGGGGCCTAAACCCCAAATCCTTCATCCCAAGAAAGGGGCCACGGACCCTGCCATGCACACTCTCACCCGACAGGCGCCTCTGCTGACGGCATACTGCTACTTGGCTGATGTCCGCATCCTTAGTGGCACGACACCCTTAATGATTACCTATACTTTCGGGGGGGGGGGGGGGGGGGNNAGTATAATGTACCCCAAAACCTTTTTCTAATTATTAAGGCCCCTATATTCTGTGCCGGGGCAAGCTAACCTTACACGACAACTGTGCTCTGCTTTCATCGAAATCAACATGGCAGTAACTCACGAGCACTTCGAGGATGGGCCGCGAAATTCCGCTCCCAAAAACTTAAACTGCTGTTGGCGGACGAACTCGGGAACGAAGACCAGCAGATGGCAGTAGTAGCAACCCTGACTCATAACAAGAGTACTCGTACCAACAGGAGCAGCAGCAAGAGTAGAGTGAGAAGCGTCGTACAACAGTCGCATCGGCATCAGCAACAAAAACGCAGTCCTAAACTCGAAGCCCAAAGCTCTAAACCCCAAACTCCAAAACCAAATCGTAAAACCAACGAAAACCTTCAACTTTAGGTGCTTTCCAGCACAAGCCGGAGCTTCAGTTCTGCGTTTGCACCGAGAGTCGGCGCTTGGGAAAGTGTCTTGACGTATACTTGCGGGGGTACTTGGAAACAAATTTTAATTGTTTGTTACTACAACTCCGAAGAAAGATTGAATTTTTTTGTGGCAAGGATACCAAGTTCAGTATAGTAAAAGGCTCAGGGTTTCAGGGCTTCGGGGCTTTGAGTTTTAGGTTAGGGCTTTAGGGTTCTAGGGTTTTAGGGCTTTGGGGTGAATGTTTTGGGGCTTCAGGGCTTCGAGGGTTTTAGGATTTAGGGGTAGAGGGTTGTTTTAGGTTTTAAATTGTACGGGCTTAGGGTTAGGATAGGGATGAACGCGCAGCACCTGTGATTTAGAGGTGACTCGGCTTTGGAGATGTAGGGACTTGGGGATCTATCTACCGTAGTATTTGGTATTGCACTTTTAAGGGCTTGGTGTCTCGGCAACAGAACGCACAGATTAGGCATGTACACTCCCGACTACCCTTTCCGGAATATAGGGGCCTGAATAATTAGCACAGCCCCTGCGCTTAAACAACCATTGAATCCGCCTCCCCATGCCGAGGTCTAGCCTAATTAAAACATCCCGCGACCCTTCTAGGAATTGTCAGCAATAGTATCTAATAGTTGTCGTTTCTATGAAACATAAATATCTACACCATGGAGAGAGAGAGAGAGAGTATAAGTCTACGGTCTAAGATTGCTGATGCCCCTGTATGCTCGGACATCGGGTGGTCGCTCAAGAATCTTGCAGTCGTTGCCACCTTAAAAGTCATTGAGCGGTTTTGGGTTTCGGGGTTTAGGGTCTAGGCGCCTATATGAGTAGTTCTCTAAATCATTGTCCCATTTTAGGTCCCCAAGATAGTACGGCACCCTTCTAAACAGGACCCCAAAAAGGACCCGAATCTAGAGAACTGCCCATATGGAGCCACTGAAGCCTTCTTGCACTTGGGTGTCGAGGATTAGCGTGATCTCACGTGCTGACTTCGAAGCCGCCCTTGGGGAACATGGTTTCCCGCTTTCACGGCCTACGGCCGAGGACGGTTCTGGCAGGCTCTTGTCCACACCTTCAAACTCAAAAGTACTAGGTGCAAGTTACTGGCTGTTTGTGAAGGCGTCCTCGTGGTGTTGATAGTAGCAGTACCAGTAGTAGTAGTAGTAGTAGTAGTAGGAGGAGGAGGAGGAGGAGTCGCAGTTGCAGTTGCTGTTTCAATCGGTGAAACTGTGTGGAAGTTCGCAAGTTCCATCCACGGGCGGGTGAAGGACTACCAAGTCCACCGCGACTTTGACACGGATGCGACATCAGGTTGCAGCTGGCCTGGGATGATGAGGCAGCCAGGGTTTGGGGTTTGGGGCGGTTTCTGGTTTGGGGCGTAGGGTTTTCGGAAGTTTCCCAAGCAGCTCACATGAGTCCAGCCAAAGGTGATACGAATTTCGGTTCCATGCACGACTGCTCGTTGCCCAGATTGCTGGTGAGGATTAGGATCGTGCTTTCCGTGCTGCATTTCCGCGACATTCGGATCCCTGGACCTCTTGTGGCCGTTATGAGAGTCTGGGCGGTCAGACAAAACCTAAATCCCGACAATAAATACACGCATGTTCAGCTGTAGTTCATCATGAGTCTATACACTTTAAACACCACAAGCTTAATTAGCAGACACTTCGCGAAAGCATCCATAAATGCGGAAGCGTTTCATGTACAAAGCCCTAAGCCCTAAACCCCCCCAAAGCCTAAACCCCCCTAAACCCTAAACTCTAAACAACCCAAGATAAAACAAAAAAAACAGTCAGCTTCAGGCTCTGGTCTCGCCGCTCCCCTTCCGCCGCCCGGGCGAGGCGCCTTTTGAGCCCGGGGAAGAGAGTTTGTTAAAAAGGGTCCAGAAATATCCGAAAGCGTTACGGACATCAGAAGTACATGTGTGCGTGTGCAGATAGATAGATATAGCTAGGTAGATAGATAGATAGACACGTAGACACGTAGGTAGGTAGGTAGGCAGGTAGGTAGGTAGGTAGGTAGGTAGGCAGGCAGGCAGGCAGGCAGGTAGGTAGGTAGGTGGATGGATGGATGGATGGATGGATGGATAGGCAGACAGATAGATAGCTGGATAGCTAGATAGATGGACAGATGGATAGATGGATAGATAGATAGATGGATAGATGGATAGACGGATCGATGGATCGATCGACGGATCGACGGTTCGATGGATCGATGGATGGATGGATGGATGGTTGGATGGGGGATGGCTGCATGGTTGGATAGATAGATTAATAGATTGATTGATCGATCTATTGGACATTAGAATCACTAGATTACATTAGGTTAGACTAGGTTAGACTAGACTAGATTAGACTAGATTGGACGGATGGATAGATATAGATAGATAGATAGATAGATAGATAGAGAGATAGAGAGATAGAGAGATAGAGAGATAGAGAGATAGATAGACAGTTAGATAGATAGGTATTGCATGCATGTGTCAATATGGATACAGACTATCAACAGAAGCAAGTCCGTCTGTAAGTGCGTGAGCAAGCACGCGATATCTCTTACGATGAGACGTTTGTTTACAAGTATGTACAGGTCTGAAAGAATGCTTGAGAGCCTTGGGTGCAGGTCACCATATACCTGTACACATCAGACACTCAGACTCAGTGCGTTAGCCCCCTCTCCGCATGGCAGGACACCGGGATCGGTGGTTGGGGCGTCCGCGGTCACGGATCCGGTGGAACTTCAGCGCCTGGAACCATGGCTGAGACTGTTTGGTTTCGGGCTGTAGGGCGTTCGACTCATCAGCTATAAAACTCTATCAGGCGGAAACCCCAAACCCTGAACACTAAACATCTATACAACCTATGACCCCAAACCCTGAACCATAAGCCCTACCTGGACCCCGAAAGTATGTAGAATGATCTTATTTATAGGTGTTTAGCCATTATTGTACCTACACTTGGGGGTTTGGGTAAGCCGTAAACCCCAAGCCCCGAAACCCCAAAACCCCGAAGCCTCTAAACCCCTAAACCCTAAACCCCATTTCCCTCAACCCTAACCCCTAAAGCCCTAAAACCCAAAACCCCTCAACCCCAAAACCCCTAAACCCCAAAACCCAAAACCCCTAAACCCCAAAACCTAAGCCCCTAAACCCCGAAACCCTAAGTAAGACGGCTTGTAACCTGCAGGAGCCGAGCCCTACGCGAGACGCCGGAGGCTAAGGGCCGTTTTTGGACGCCCCGAAGTCACAGACCCCGGGCGCTCTGCAGCGCTGCTTTGAGGTGACAGCATCGTTTTCTTATGCTGGCTCGTATGTGTGTGTGTGTGTATGTGTTTGTATATATATATATGAATATACATATATATATATACATACGTATGTACAAATGTATGTACGTATGTATGTATGTATGTATGTATGTATGTATGTATGTATGTATGTATGTATGTATGTATATGTAGATACACACACATAAATGTAGTGCAGTGGTATATTACGTACATTCTTTTATTTTATACTACAATATAATGTCATATCATATAGATAGATAGATAGATAGATAGATAGATAGATAGATAACTAGATAGATAGATCGATAGATAGATAGACCACACTCTTTTTCACTCACCTTCTCGGGCCCTTGCTCTTGGCAGATCCCGAACCCCGAGATGCCTAAAAGGAAGCCCTGGAACCCTGGATGTGCGGAGTTCCCAGAGAGCCCAATACCCCTTAACTAAGGAATATACCTTAAGTTATAGGGGCCTCAATATTATGATTTAAGTAAGTTATAGGGGCCTTAATATTATGATTTAAGCTATATTCCTTAATTAAGGGGTATTGGGCTCTCTGGGTTCAGGATCGAGACACCACCGTGGAGATCTTCCCGGGCCTTTGCCCTTCAGGGGCGCGCGCAACGGCCGGGGAAGGCCGTAAGGAGACGGACCTCTGGAACTGAAGGGCCGAGCTACACCCATAGGCCCCATAGTAGTTCCTTTTTGGGATTACCTTATAGGATTCTATATATGAGCCCCAAAAAGGAACTACTTTAGGGCCGAGCTACAAGGCGGCCCAGGCCTTTGGAGACCTTCGGAGAGGACACTCGGAGATCTTCCGGACGCAGCCTTCCTCCAGACCCGCTCGCACTGATTGCTCTCGCGGTTTTGCACCTTTGCGTCGGCTGCTGGAGAGCATCAGTGAGCTACAAGCAGCAATGGATTGAAAGCGAGTGAAAAGTGCCACAAGTAGCTCACATGCACGCTGTTCGATTAATTGCCGGCAGGTCTACCTGGTACAGAGTATCGGGCTATCTGTCCCTCTTTTCTGGCGCCAGGCCCTTGGCTTGTCCCTGCAGGAAGATGCATGGTTGTTATTCCGGTTTGGGGTTTAGGGTCGATACCCTAAACCCTAAAGCCCTAAACCCGGGGCACCTTCGGGTCGGATTGGGGTGTTGGGCTCAGGGTGTTGCATCTCTCTGTGGGTGTTTGAGGCTTTGGCCCTTGAACAGTACCCTCAAAGATGCGTCCCGCCGAAAAGTTTGGGGTTCCCGGAAGTTGGTGATGTCACTGAGAAGGGAGAGTAGCACGTCAAGCCCTTACCCGAAGCCCTAAAAGCTCTGAAGCCCTAAGCCCTAACGCACTAACCCTGAAACCCCCAAATACCCTAAACCATCTTATAAACCCGAGAACTCTAAGCCCTCAATATTGCAAGACGGAGAAGACCTTTGAAGCACAGGCGGAAAGCTGAGATACTGGAGTTGACTCGGAAGAGAAGCAAATTTAGTTGCTACCTATGGAGAACAATAGCAATTTGCAGGTTTGGGGCTAGTAGTTTACCTGCTTTAGGGGCTTCGGGTATGGCCTAGGGTCCTTGAGATTAAGGCTTACACGGAACCCCATGTCACCAAACCCCTTTTTAGGAATTCCCAACCCCTATAAGCCCTAAGCCCGCAAGCCGCCGATAAGCCCTAAAAAGGCCCTAACAAGAATCGAAACCCTAAATCCTCAACTTTAAACTTTGAACCCTAAACCCCAATCCCCCCTCAAACAAACAAACAAACGCGGACAAGACCCCCCTGCTGCTTTTGAGGTGCCGGCCGCGCCGAGTATTCCTTGGCGCTGCCGAGGGACAGTCAGCTCGTGGCTCTCCGGGTGGACCTGACGCCGCCTTCCTCTTCCGAGGTCCCCTGGGTCTTGGGGCTTTCAGGGGGATTTGCGGGGTTTGCAGACGTGTTTAGGGCCGCTTAGGGGCTTCTTGGGGTTTATGGATTCAGGGAGGGTATAGGGAATAGGGCTCAAGGATATTAGCTGTTTTGGGCAGTTCGCAGACAGCTTCAGTTTGGGGCTAGCCTTTCAGCCTTTCTGAAGCTGAAGATGTCCGAAATGAGGCACCCAACGAGTGTGCAGCGTCACAAAGTTCCGGTGGCCCTTAGGTGCATCCAAGGGCCTTAGTTTGGAGTTTACCTCTTTGGGAGTTGGGCTTTACTTATAAGTATCTGTTCTGCCTCTCTCTCTAGGCCATTTTCAGGAGGGTAGTTACCGTTATAGGAGCCTTATAGAAGGTTTATATACCTTATGGAAGCCTTATCGAAGCCCTATATACCCTAAACTCCCCACCTGTAGTTGCCGTTAACTCTCTCTCCCTTTCTTCTGCTTGCTGTCTCATGCCGCTTTCCGAGAGGAGCTTTCAAGATTTGCCTCAGATGCTGGTAGTTGAGAGATATCTTCCAGAGTGTGGTTTGGGATCTACCGATGGCGGCTGTTTTCGGAGGTTAAATAAGTATTCCCACACATTCAGAGGAGGAGTGCTAGCCACGTTGCAGCATGCCAGGTGCACAACACTCTTCGTCCTACTTCTGTTAGGCAAGGAGCGTCCATGCTGTCTTACCGTTTGTAAGTCATGAATGGCTAAGTGGCTGAATAGCGGCAAGAGCTGCAGTATGACCAACCCCCTACTTGCAATCTGAAGCCCTAAACCCTGCAGGCCCTAACATAGGGGCCTAAGATAATTATCTATACTATTTTGGCGGGTTCCTCATTATAAATGTAGTATAATGCTCCCAATCAGATCCCCACACACTGAGACAGCCCTGTCACGACCACGACCATGACGACCTGACGACCAGCACCACGACCACCATGAGACTACGAACCAGGAGACGACCAGGAGATCCCAGGACACCAGGATATGTGAATACGGGTTTAGGGTTTAGGGTTCAGGGTTTAGGGTTTAGGGTTCAGGGTTTAGGGTTTGGGGTTTAGGGTTTGGGGTTTAGGGTTTAGGATGCGAATATGGGGACATGAGCGCGAAATATGCACCGCAAGGCGGTGGGAGACACATCCCGAAACTTCCCGCTTCAGCAGCACGCCGATCCACACCTAACATGAAAACCCCCATAGTTTGTCAGTGTTGCAGATCCCAGGCCTACACCCTAAGCCCTTAAACCCTCAGAAACCCTAAACTTCTCCCCTAGGCCCCTAAACCCTATTTCCCTCAACCCTAAACCCCTAAACCTTAACCCTAAACCCTAAACCCTAAGCCCCTAAACCCTATTTCCATCAACGCGAACCCCTAAACCTTATTTCCCTCAACCCTAAACCCTAACCCGTAAACCTAAACCCTTTACCCCTGTGAACGAGGGAGCCGCCCTTTTGGCTGCGGCCCCACCTCTCGCTGTTCGCGTTCCTTCCAGGGGGTCGGAACCTCTTTGCTGGGACGGTTTATGGTTTAGGGTTTAGGGTTCGCTGTAAACAAAGGCTCAAAACAGGCATTAGAGCAGGGCCTTTATGTAAGAGTTGTAGTTTTTGTGGGTTTAGGAGCAACGGTTTTTGGGGTTTTGGGGCTCAAGGTTTTGAGCATTTCGGTGTTGGAGATTTGATGTTTCGTTTCTCATGGTGAGGGTGTTCGGGTTTAGGATTTCCGATCCGAGCTTTAAGCGGCTTTCACGGGCGCTCTTTCTTTGTCCTCTCTCTCTTTCTCTCTTTCTCTCTCACTCTCTCTTTCTTTCGCTGTCTCTCTCTCTCACTCTCTTTCTCTCTTTCTCTTTCTCTCTCTCTCTCTCTCTCTCTTTCAAATTTATAACCCCTATGAAGCTGCCCTTTTAGTTGATGTTGTAATACACCCCAAAGCCATATTCTATTCTCTATTCAAGGCCCAGTACTTTGCTTGTTAAGTGGTTTCCTGTGTGGTAGGAGACCCAGGAAGCAAGGCGGCAGGCATTGAAGTCAGTTGGTGTTAAGGAATGTACATTACGTTACTATAAGTTGGGGTTCCTATAGGGGTTCCTTTCAGGATTTACGGGGTTTAGGGCTAAGGAACCTAAATTCAGTTACTATGATACTTACTACATATATATATATATATGCATATATTCGCGTTGTGGTTTCGGAAATTAAGTTCCTTGCCAGCAACCCCAGTTGAAGTCAGTTGCATGTCAGGGCGCTGCCCAGTTCCGCCAAACCGGCATTGCAGACATCATATGGATAGTTCCCCCATCTAGGCTCCCTTTTAGGATCCTGAAAGCAGGGGTTTAGAGAACTAGCCATCTGGCTAAAGGAGGGGAACCCAGAGACTAGAACAACAGGCGGAAAACCAGAAGTGGTGTGCTGGAGGGGAGGCAAACGCCTAGACCCTCTTTCGTTATGTAGATATGTATGTATGTATGTATGTAAATGTGTATGTATGTATGTATGTATGTATCTAATATAATATAATACACTATAATACACTATAATATAATATAATATAATATAATATAATATAATATAATCTAATATATGTTATGATATATATATGTGTGTGTAATATAACATGTGTATATATATATATACACACATACATATGGTGAGGGTTTATCTAGGGTTCTGGACCCCAAGCTGAAACGCCGAGGCTGCGATTTCCTCTGAGTCCAGGCGTGACTTCTGCCTACGTTTCTGCCCGCGCCCCAGCCAAGACCGGAGCCGAAAGGTTTTTGGGTTTAGAGTTTATAGGGTTTGGGGTTGTTGGTGGGGGGATTTACAGGGCCTTGTAGAGCTTCAGGAGTTTATTGAGGTGTGGTGTTTAGGAGTTTAGGGTCGAGATTTTGAGTTTAGGTAGTGGCTGAGGTGGCCATGACCGAAGCACGGGCACGGCGAAGACATAAAGATACGAAGCGGATTCCTCCCTTGGCGGACATTGGAAAGCAGTACTTCTAGCCGACACGCAGCTTGGATGGACAATGCATGAGTGAACCCTGTAGCTCAAGACGGGGTTAGATAGCAGTGTCCTCTTGCGCAGCCTGGCTAAGTGCCTTTAGCCCGAAACTGCCACGGTTCATGGAAACATACTGACGCTAGGAAAATGTGTTTATGGCATATAGTATAGGACTCATAGGGGTATTTAAGGTTTGGAGCTTACAGGGTGTTGTGTATTTAGGGCTTATTGGGCTTATAGAGGTTGGGGCGGGTATAGTGTTTATAAGGCTTAGTGCTGATAGGGTTTACATTTTATGTGCCTAGGGCTTATAGGGCTAGGGTTTGTAGGGTTTGGTGCTGACAGGGGTTTATAAGGTTCAGGGTGTCGGGCATATAGGGTTTCAGGTGGAATATCTCGCTTTGCAAGCAAGTTTCGCAGGCCTGTGGGTAAGCCTGGCCATTTGTTTCCCGCTCAACACAAAGAACCCCGGCCCCTTGCAGTTCCTACATGCTTTTCAAACAATATGATTTTCAAACAATATGCCGTGCCCCAAAACCTTATTCAATATTATAGACCGGAGTCCCGTATGACTTCTGAGATGGTCCGTCTTTCAGGCTGACATCGGCGAGCCGTTGGACATGAGGCTTCCGACCCTTCGCCAAGCTGGGGTGTTCGGGCTTTGCACTTAGGCCACTCCGATTCCGGCTCTCTTGCGCTAATATTGGCTTCTTTCTGAACTGTGGCGGTTGCTATTTCCTGTGTCCTTCGACTTTGTTTACCGCGTGTGGAGCGAGGACGACTCCAGTTGCTGTTGCGGCATGCTGCTGCCATTGCTGACTGCTGCATCTACTGCTGCTACGACACCAACGATTTCAGCCTGAGCATCTGCATGCTCGAACGCTATAAGACGATGATAGCGCCAGAGAATTCTGATCTTCCTGTGGGACTTCTTGCCTTCGTGCGGTCTGTTTGGGCTTAAGTGCGTGTAGGAGTTTCTGGTTTCGGGTGCGGAGGGCTTCGTTGCCGAGCAGTACAAGAAAGGATCAGGGGATTTGGGAGGTTATAAAAAGTGCTTGAGTCGGCTGAGATTACCCTAACGTGCACGTTGCAGACTTCCAAGTTTTTATACTATGTGTCTACGTAGTCGACTTGTACCCTGGTATCTGATGTTGTGAGTGGTCCCACTACGGCCGCCGTCCCGCCCGTCAGAGCTCTTGACAACCATGGAGAGCTGGTTCACAGCTTGCGGCCTTTGCTGAGCCGCAAAAATCAGACGGTGCATGCAAATTTGTACAAGCAGAGTTTACTTAGCCAGGATTGAGCTGCTGGGAAGCGAGTATGGGTGAGAGCCTCAGTGCCAGCTTCAGACTCTGAAAAGGGCCGAGCGCAATATGTTTCCACAAGCTCCGCAACTGTGCCACCACAGCTTTCTTGTCTCACTTAGTGGCTCTTGAAGCCTAGACATCATGTTTGCTAAGTGGCTTGGATAATCATTCCGGGAACGAGCGGTCTTATGATGAGTTGTCCAGGCGGTACTCGATGCAGCCTACATCGCCTGGTCACACCTCCAGCTTGCAGAAGCACAAACGTCCCGGAGTGCGGTTGACTGAACCAAACAGTGTGTTCAAGCTATCTGACGTAGGACATGCGGAAGTTGCCGTACTCATCCAAAGTATGTCATGCACCGGGCATGAGATGTCTGTGTGTGTGTGTGTTTGTGTGTGTGTGTGTGTGTTTGTGTGTGTGTGTGTGTCTTTGTGCGCTCGAACTTGCACGCCTCGATGTAGAAATAGATACAGCTCCTCACCGACATGTATGTACATATGTTACATGCAGGTTTGAATGTGTTTCTGTTTGTATACAGAGAGAGGGCTTCATCGCCGGAACCATTTGATGCTGGCAATTTTGGGCTTAGCAGTCAGCGCACCGAACGAGCTAGGTTTACATGCAGTAGAGTTGGGCCTCGCACACACATGCGGTGCACATGTGTGTGTGTGTATATATATATATATATATTAATATACATATGTATGCACGCATACATGTACAGACTAAACCGCCATGCGGTGAGGCTTCGGGTGCTGCGCTCGAAGATTACTTCCTCGGGTCAGGGCTTGTCGCCGGACCCGGCGCGTCTCTATCCGCCCCAAGGCGCCCCCTGAAGCTTCGGGTTTATAGAGCTTTTGGATTTAGGCAGGCTTTTGGTGGTATTAGGCTGATGTCATAGAGAATTTCGGGTGATAGAATTTGCGGATTTAGAGTTGGGGGATAAAGTCTTGGGGGTTCAGAGGGCTTGCGGTTCAAAATTTAGGAGTTAGAGGGTTTAGAGATTAGCTTGGCACTGAACTTGGGCTTCAGGGAAGACGTAGCAACATTGGCTCCTTGTACAGTTTACAATCATACCAGAATGTACCCCCATCCGTATTCGGACTATGAAAGCCCCTTAATTGGAGGTACCCCTAAGTTTGATTTTCACACGAATCTGACTCAGCGACTGATGATGAACCTTGTAAGATCAAGCTGGAAGGTACTCTGGCGGGCGAGGGCCTTATCTGTGAGTTCTGTGTAGTAGGAGTTTTGTAGGGTTTAGGTTATATCTTTGAGGCGGTTGATGCGGGTTGCTCCGCTTCTGTCGTGATTCGATCTGAGCCTGGCCGGAGCCATGCCGCACCACACTGAAGCTGTTGAAGTCGCAAGGCTTGAACCTGTGGGACAGCATGGGGCTGGCTGCCAACATGGCCCGGATCTCACCTCTACCTGTTTGGCGAGTCGGAGCAGTTTGTTGAAGGTTCCCGGCTCAAGTAAAAAAACCTATGTCTCGCGGAGCGAGGCATGGTTCGCGCCCAGAGTGTCGCTGTACTTTGCGCCCACGCCTCAGCGATACCTTGATCGCCTGGACCTGGACCTATCGCAGACTCGGCGATGTCAGGTCCATCCGGGAGAATGCGCACGGGGTGAGGCTCCTGAAGTAGCAAGTTTGAGTTGCACGATGACCCTGAAAGTACGCCGTACACCCAGCTCGGCACACCCACCGGAGAGGTTGGCGGCCACTCCGAACGATCCGGATGCCGAGCTGGAATGGCGGATGAACGGCGGCAAGTGGGACTTTTTGGCCGCCTTCTCAGCTGTTAAGAGCGGTCTGGCTGATGATAGTGCGTGTTGGGGATCTATGTATTACTGTGTCTCGTCTGTATAAACCCCGAACCCTAACCCTAAACCCTAAATCATAAGGGCTTCTATCGCACCGAGCGCTTCGCGTCCCAGGTTTCAGGCCTCACCTCCTCGCCGGCTGCCAGGGTCTCAGAGATTTCTGAATTGGTTGAGCGCCGAGGGTTTCAATTGTCATGTTTGCCATCTTCCAAAACGGGCCCTTGCCGCTAACCCTGGCCCTGGACCCTTATTGACTTTTGTCATGAAGACTGGAAGAATTCGGCTGATCCTGACGGATGTTGCGGGCATCCGGATTGCTCCTGCAAGACTGTCGACGTTGCGCACGCAGAACAGTTGTGAAGCAAGTAAGCAACATGTTTATCCTCCTGTTTCAGTGTGACAGTAATCACATATATCATGGTTAGTTATAGTCAGTACATAATTAGGGGTAAACATGGCCGACTGGCAAGGAGGTTGCCACTTCCGGCTGGACTTTGCTGGAGGTCCGCGGGCAGCTCAGCTTCGCATGACAAGAGCGAACCCTAGGCACGAACAGACCCCTGCATTGGCAAAGGGCTCAAGTCTAACATGTAGGGGCCTGAATAAGGAGAAAGTATCTTCCTGAGGGATCCGTATTGTAGATATACGGTAGTAGACCATGAAACCCTGGTCCAACGATTAAGACCGTTCAGGGGGTACTTTATTGCTGCAGCTCGCAGTTCACAGGCAGCGTTGATCGTCGATGAGTTCCTAAGCCCTAAACCCTAAGCCCTATCACCCTAATCCCAAAGCCCTAAACCTAAGCCAGTTTCACAGAAGGCTTCAACATGCAGACTTCTCGTGGTGGAGAACATGAGCGAGCCCAATTGAAACTCGAAGAGTCCTCGACAAAGTATGACGAAAGATCCTGAACCCTAAACTCCCCTAAACCCTTCTAGAATTCTTATAATCCTAGTCTACTATAGGTAACCCTACATCCAGAGGCAGCTTAAGCTTGTGTCGTGCAACCGAGGTGTCTCCTCATCCTCCCTCCCGGAATCGTTGTCGCCCTTGGTCTACCAGGCCTTTTAAGAGAAAGGTTCAGGGTCTGTTCAGGGTTTAGGGTTTAGGGAAATAGTGTTCATAAGGAGCTTGGGCCTAAAAGAGCCGCACGACACAGCATTGATGCACCCCGCATCCTAAATACTTCTTCTGGCCCCAAACCCTACCACACAGTAGTTAATTATGATTGTTAGTTTATAAGCACAAGCATCATAATCTAGGCAATTAACAGTTGTTAAGCCAACCGTTCCTTGGTCGCGAGGTGGTCTTGGCACGTGGAGCCCGTGTGTGCCATCCCAGCTGCGCGTACTGCACCGGGCCGTCCGCGACGGAATGCGAGGTGCCAGGGTTGGAGTGTCTCTATAAATCATACATGTGTATAACGCAACTACAGGAAGCTAGTACCGATTCAATCACTTCGTCTCATACACAGCATTGTCCATTCCGGAAACCTCGCTGGTCTAGACGATTGATGAATTACTTCACTGGCTACAAATTTCATATCTGGAGTTTTCTGCAGCCATAAGAAATCCAAATTTCTAGCCCGGCAATACAAGGACCCATCTTACCGGTGACCCCCAAACAACAAACGACCCCCGAAATCTCCGCAAACCCCATCTACATGCAAGAGGCTGTACTCTCGAGTGTAGAGGTCGTCGCGCAGTCCATATGCACCCGTCAGAGCATCGGAGGATTTTTTTTGGGGGGGTCGTGGCGCTTAACTGCGTCACTCAGGGGATTCGCAGTCTCTTCAGGCATCTTCTCGTGAGCCATTCTAGCTTCGCTCCAATCGTGAACACCCCGAAACCTGTAAGCTTCCGCCTCTGCTGTATTTGCAGGTTAGGGGTAATGTGGGGGCCTAAATAATTACCGATACTATCTTGGGAGTTCCTTATGATCGTTATAGTATGTTAGGCCTGCAAAACCCTATTCTAACTGTCAAGGCCGCTATATTACGCGCGACGGACATCTTCTGGTGGCCGAAAGCCCATACGCCCTAAACCCTGTCCAGCGAGAACCGGAACCATTCACACCTACAACCCCCTGCCCGACAAAAATGCTCGAACACCGAGAGGTTCGAAGTCCCAAACGTGCACAAGAGCCCTAATTAGAACCCGAAACCATAAACACCTCCCAGCTTTAAACCTAAACCGTAACCATCCTCAAACCTAAGACCTAAGACCCTATATATGTAAGACCCTCAACCCTACATGTAAGATCCTAGTCCTAATCCCTGAAGCCTAGTCTGCTCAGTCCTGCGTGCCGCCACTGATCCTTGCAGACGGCAAGTGCCTCTACACCGCATGCGCGGGGTCTTGGTGCGAAAGCGTGACAGGTCCACAGTTTCGTGTGCCATGATACGGCATTTGCAGATACCAGAGCGCATAGGCAGACACTTTTCTGGAGACGTACATATTCATAATCCTAATGCCAATGCAAACACTACCTAATTATGCTGCTTATGATGCGTATACATCTACTTATACATAAAACGCAAAACACTGGCAACTTTTCCTCAATGTCTTCAAGTCAAGGCCCGTCTTCAACGCAGTACTTCAACACCAGCACGGAGCGCTGCGAACCCTGCGGCGTGCTCAAACGAAGCAGGGGATGCTCGTTGTTGCGGAGGTTTCTGAGGCTTTACAGGTTCAGGCTTCGGGAGTCGCTTTAGGGAGGGGTTTAGGAGTGTGGTGTGCCGGGTCTGGGGTCTAAGAGTTTAAGACTTTATTTAGGGTTTTTAGGAGTCTAAGGGCAGAAGGCTATGCTCGGTGAAAGTCAGATGTCGTTTCGTGTGCATTCTGGGTTCTAGTTGGAAGATCTCGAAGAGGTGCTGTCAGCTGTGGTCGGGCTGCCAAAATGCTGATGTATCTATAGTATAATATACCGTAAAACCAGTATAGTCCCTGGCATAACTATAGTACAATAATATTACGTATATACCGCAAAACCCAAGCCCATGGCCCTAAACTTCCAACCCTCATAGCAACTCTGTCGGCAACCCTTGTCGTAACCGTTCTATTGCACAGCTTGGCTGCGCTTGTCTAGCAGGCAAGCGGGCATGAGCGCCACACTTTGGCGGACGCCGTAAGCATCTTGCTTTTTCTCCAAACCGTTTTTGAGCTTGCGTCGTTTAGATGTGCTCACAGACTCCCAACTCCGCAAGTCAATCAAGACACTGCTACAGTGGTTACCACTCATGTGTCTAAGGTGATTCGAGTTGCCTGGAATGTGCAGATGGATCTCCTTGGGGATGCCAGATCCCTACTTGCAGGGTCGAGCATCGAGTTCGACGTGGCCAGGTTGTCATTCATGAACACCAGTGCGCTGTCCGTCTTCCGTAATGTAGGGGCCTTAAATCATTGGAACAGGGTTTTGAGGGTTCCTTATTATTGTAAGTATCGTATAATATGCCCCAAACCCTATTCCCATTGTTGGGGCCCTACATTATCTGACAGTCTTTCTGCAAACCGCAATCTCGGCCTCAGTAGATGGTCGAACCCTGAAGACCTTCCCTGCAGCCTGGGCCTCGGGAGACCGTACCCCAGTGAGGCATCTCCTGTCCGCCCTCGCGATACCTCCGGCCCAGCTCGGAGATTGCCATCGTGGGTTCCTGCGACCCGCCCGGGCACTCGGAGGGTCTCGGGGGTAAAAACCTCAACGCCTCAACCCTTAAAACCCGTCCTGAACCTTCAAACCCTGAACCCTAAACCGTTCAAGAGTTCAAGAACGATTGGATCATTTCGTGTCGGTTGTTGCGATGGGTCTTGAACCGTTTCCGGTTCCCTGGGTTCAAAAACCCAGCCCAGGAGGGGCGGCGCCCTGCGAAGGGCCGGCTTTGACATGCGATTGGGTTAGGGTTTAGGGTATAGGGTTTAGGGTTTCGGGGGTCGGTTCGGCGGTACGATCCTGCCACCTTCATACCCTGTTTAATTAGCTCTAAACCCCGTCTAGCCCCGAGCCCTGAACACTAAGCCCTGAACCTTAAGCACTAAACCGCTGACCCCCGAAACTTACATTTAAACCCTATAACCCTAACCTCCTAAACCTCAACCCTAAATTCCCTAATCGAATTAGAAATTCAGGCCCCTACATCAGCTCACTTGGTGTTTTGGAGTTCCGTACGAAAGCCACACGAGTGCCCACGCTCTTCTGGAACCCCCAAAGTTCTTCAAAGCTGCCGGGTTTAGGGTTTAGAGTTTAGGGCCTGTAGCGACCTCCACACCTTCCCTCCCCCAACTGTCTTAGGGTTTCGGGTTTAGGGGAAATGGTTTTAACTTGGGACCTTAATGATTCGAATACGTAGGGACTTTAGGGTTTCGGGTTTAGGGGATGTGGCTGTAACTTGGAAGGTCAGGGTGGGAAAACCAAACTGAGCAGTCACAAGTAAGGTCTTGCCTCTACGGGTTTTTCGTGCAGCCCACCAGCCAGCGTTGCCAGATTGCTTCCGCCTCAGCCCGCTTGTTCGGCCGAGCAGGAGTACTTCAAGGTCCAAGGAACGCAGTAAGGAAGCAAGAAAGGTAAGAATTAGGATCGCCCCACTTAGGGGACTTAGAGCACCAATTAGCACCCTACTTACTAAGTCCCCTGAGCCTTTACTTCCCCAATACCCAACCTTTAAACTTTTCGGGCTCTGATAATTTAGTAAGCAATCTGAAAGTTTAACCCTTCTACTTCCCTGGCTTATTGGGGGATTAAGCTTAAGCAGTCTTCGTGGTTGTTGCCACGCAAGTTCCAAGGCAACCATCCCGTTGAACCTTTGGAGGGATCCCTTTCGCCTGCAACGCGAATCCCGAAGCCGCCCCATCCTCCCTAACGTGGGCCTTAATAATTTTGTGGGGGTTGTGGGAGTTCCTTATCATAATTATAGTATACTATACCCCGAACCCTCTTCATTCTAATTATTAAGGCCCTTATATTTTTCAGCATGACACAAAAATACCTACACTGCGTGTAAGCCCTAGTCCCGAACATCCGAAACCCTCGCTCTAAAGATCCTCAGCCCAACCCCGACACAGAAGGACGCCGGGTCCCTCTTGTGACCTCGGTCAGTCAAAACAACACAAGTATCGAACACTTTGTTGCAGAGACTGCCAGCGACGATAACAAAGCGCATAATACAGGGGCCTAGAATAGGGTTTGGGGGGTATGTTATACAATAAGTATAATAAGGAACCCCCAAAACCCTATTCTAATTGTTAAGGCCCCTACCGTCAAGTAGGATCCCACGGATTCCACCAAGCTTCACAAGATGATGCTTTCTGGCATTCCTACGCTCAGGAAAGCCCTGCACCCTCAACCCTAAACCCTTA